CTGCCACACCTGGCTCCGAACATTTTACAAAACTTCCGGGCCACCCCTTTCTCACCTGTAGAACGGACACAGTTGGAGCCCCTAGCAGAAAGCCCTGTGGGCGCGCAGTTGGTGGGCTGTTACCAGTGAAGTGCTTGAGGCAGTCGGTGGCTGGTGCATACAGTGACCACAATGCTTTCTGACTACTCCGCACATAAAAGCTACTATGGCCTACGGTTAAATCCCATTCGCAAGACATTTTCACATGGATGCCTGTTCTCGTCTTCACCAAACACGGGCTTTGCACGCAAAGAGAATGCAGTCCAGGCAGAGGAGAGATCAGCATTTTCTGCCCACACCTGGCCGAGGAGAGCTGTGTCCCCTCGGCCTCTTTCTGCAGCCTGGGAAACAGGAGCCCGCCAGGCCAGGGGCAGCATCCGGGACTCTGATTGTTGGAGTTAAAGGTTAATTGGAATCACTCGAGGGGTTCTGTGCCCCTCCCTGCGAAGAGACCTGTCCAGAGCAAGGCCTTTCAGGGTTGGTGTGGGCGCTTCTCTTGGGGGCGCGGGGCGGGGGGGGGGGCCGCCAGTCAGAGCAAGCTGGTCTTTAGGTGTTCATGGGCCTGTCCTGGAGAGTTTAAGAAATACAAGTTCTAATCCAGGGTGAGGCCTGCAGCTCTGCCTTTGTTTCTTACCACCCCCCCTCCCAGACAAGGTTTCACTATGCAATTCAGGCTGACCTTGAACTCACTTTGTAGCCCAAGAAGGCCTTGAATTTAACAGTCCTCCTGCCTCAGCCTCCAGAGTGCTGGGATTACAGGTGCGTGCTACCACAGGAGACACCATTTCTTTTGCTTTGCAACATAGTTTGAACCCAGGGACACTCTACCCCTGAGCCACATTTCCAACTCTCTCTCTTATTTTTAAGTCTCACTAAGTTGCTCAGGCTGGCCTCGAACTCACTACCTTCCTGAGAAGCTGGAATTAGAAACATGTGCTTCCACACTCCGCTGAAAAACTTTTTCCCCCAGTACTGAGGATTGAACTGATAGCCTTTGTCCTGAGCTACAAGCCTGGTCCTTTAAAAAAAAAAAAATTAAGGTTGAGACAGGGTCTCCTTAAGTCTCTTAAGTTTACCAGGTTAGGCTTAAGCTTGGGTTCTTCCTGCCTCAGCTTCCCAGAGTTCTAGAAATGCTGAGAACACCAGGTCCAGCTGAAAGCCTGAAATACCAGCAATCTTCGGGCTTGATGTCAGGGCTGCTAGTGCACAGGCAGAATAACCAACCTGCTGGAGTTTGTGTTGAAAATTTTAATGGGCTTCTCAGCTTTAGCACTGGAAGTGCTGCAACCAGACCACACTACAGCCAGCAAGGTCACGCAAGGTGGTCTTAGGTTGAGTTTATACTGAGCTTAGTGACCCTCTTGAGATAAAACCAAAACGACCCCCCGCAAAAGCTTGTGATTTTCAAATCTTGCAAAACAAGATCCTGTGAACAAATTTCCTTCAGTCTGTTGAGCCTAACAGGTGCTCACATCTGGCAAAACGATGTTCGCTCTCTTGGCGGCCAGTGACTGCCACTTCTGCAAGATAACCACCAGGGGGCAGTAGATTTACACGGCTCCTTTATTCCATGAGCTCCAGAAATTTCCAAGTCCCAGCTGGCCGAGCGCCCTAATCCAACAAATTTATCTGTGCTGTGATTAAGGGCATAAGGAGTTCGTGTGCTGCTCTCTAAATAGCATATTTATTTGTAATCTATTAAAAAATAAAAATAGCATATTTGTCACTTAATGGAAATACTCAGAGACTGTCTTTCGACCTGATCAAAGGAATGCTCACAGGAGCTCCGGGCAGTGCTGCTTCACTGGAGTGTTTCTGACCCTTTCTCTACACTGCAAATAGCATCCATGCTGGGATCCTGGGTCTTATCACTGTCCCCTTTCGGGCCCCAACATACAGCTTAGCTTTAGGCATCAGCTCTGGAATTCAATTGCCTGGATTCAAATCCAGGTACTAACATTACTAAATAAGGAACTGAACATCCTGGTGACTGTTTCCTCTTTTGTTCGTGTCTTGATTTTTGAGACAAGGTCTGGCTATGTAGTTCAGGCTGGCCTTGAACTTACTGTGTAATCCACAGTGGGCTCAAAGGTGCATCCTGTGTCAGCCTCCCGAGTGCTGGGATTACAGTTATGCACCACCATGCCTGGCCTTTTTCCTGGTGCGTAGAAAATGGGAGTAATGCTGATTTCGTATCTGTGTTGTGGGGGTTAGGAAAAGTCATGCCTGGGGGGCCAGGGAGACAGCTCAGTAGAATAAGCACTTCGCTGGCAAACGCAAGGCCATGAGTTCAATCCCCAGTTCCACACACACACACACACACACACAAAAGTTATGCCTGTAGAGCACCCCAGAAGAGTAACTGCATAATAAATCCTCATCACCCCCACTTTTTGGCCTCCTTTGTCCTTCAGACCAAACTGCTTTTCCTCCTACCAGTAATCCCTATCCCCAAATAAGTGCTTTAAGAAGAGGGGGGCGATCAAGACCCCAAAAGGGTGCAGTGTTTTCCACACCTGCGATCTGCTTGCAGGCTGGGGTTGAGCCCCAAGGCCACCAGCCTAGAGAGCTCGGCTGGGCGCTTTGCAAAAAGTAAATCCATGTCTGTCCTTGAGGCTCAAGGGAGACCAACATTTCCAGATAAGCGTGGGGCACAAGGGTAAGCGCTAGGGCCACCACCGCGCCTGCCTGGTTGTCTCTGTCCTGGGTCTCGGGGGCACTCTTCACAGGGCGTGTGGTGTGTGCTTTCTTTCTCACTCTCGCCTCTCCTTCCCTTCTTCCCCTCTCTGGCGGCCAGTGACTGCCACTTCTGCAAGATAACCACCAGGGGGCAGTAGATTTACACGGCTCCTTTATTCCATGAGCTCCAGAAATTTCCAAGTCCCAGCTGGCCGAGCGCCCTAATCCAACAAATTTATCTGTGCTGTGATTAAGGGCATAAGGAGTTCGTGTGCTGCTCTCTAAATAGCATATTTATTTGTAATCTATTAAAAAATAAAAATAGCATATTTGTCACTTAATGGAAAATCTCATCTACACTAAGAAGCAAAAGCACATGATTCTCACATTTTGCTGTACGTTATAATTGCCTGAGATTTTGCAATCAGATTCGCAGGTGAGATCCCAAGCCCATGAGATCAGGAACTCTGACATCCACAGTGAGTCTAATGTGCAGCAAGTATGCAGCTGTAATGTGCACACGAGTTGCCCAACAGGTTGATGGAATGCACACGCTGGTTCAGGAGATCCAGGCTAGAGCCGCTGCTGCTGGATTACCAGCCAGATTTGAGTGGCCAAGTTGTGGAACTGTGGTTCTCCAAGGTGACAATGTATCAGGGTCTTCTGAAGAGCTTTTACAGTGCCTCTCGAGTGCAAATTCACTACACGTGGAGCGGGGGCTGATAACAGATTCTAACACACCCTGCGGTGACAGCAGCATTGTGGGCTCACAGGGCACACTTTAGGGAAACACGGGATGCAGCACAGGGCTTAGGGGCTGGTAGCCCTGAGTCCCCTTCTCCTCACTGCAGATCTTGGATAAATTCCTTAGGCTCTCTGAATTGCCATTTCATCATTTATAAAGTGGCTGTTATGGGACAAGGTCTGTGAATTTGGTGTGCTAGTCCTCGGATGGCACTGCATACTTGAATTACCTGGGAAGCTTTCAACAGCAACCTTGACCTAATTGGTCTGGGATACTGAGTACCTGGATATTTACTTATTTAGCACCTAGGGATGTTGTGCGACTAAGCCACACTCATAGTCCTTTTGGAGACAGGGTCTCACTAATTTGAAAAGGCTGGCCTCAAGCTAATACTCCTGCATCAGCTTCCCAAATGCTGAGATTACTGCCATGCCCCTCACCACACCTGATGAAAAAGATGTTGCTTCACTTTTATCCCCCGCCACCTCCTCCACTCCCGTGACAGGGAATTGAAACCAGCTCCTCCTGTGTGCCAAGTGAGCACTCCCCCAATGAGCTACATCCCTGACCTCTACAGAATTTTTTTTTTTCCTGCAGAATTTTGTAAGAGCATTTGCATGCAGCCAGTACTAGGGATTGATCTAGTGCAGTGGAATTGCACTAATTCACCCAAGTTTCTGACTCACAGGGCTGGGCTGGGACTGGAAACCAGCCTTTCTCACAAGTCCCCAGTGGGGCTGAGGCTACACTCCAAGACCCACAGGGTGGGGAGCACTCAGCAAATCAGGGGCAGAACCAGGGTGGTCACCTCTGCTGATGCCCCAGAGGTGGTGTTATTCAAGCCCACCTGGGTTAGGTGGGGTAGGGCCAGAAGAAAACGGGCAGAAAAAAAAGGTGGTTGCTTGGCAGCATGGCATAAGGGGGGCGAGAGACAGGCTTGGCCTCGGTGACCACAGGCCAAGAGCAAGATAGAAGCTACCGCGAAGCCTTCTGCTCACCAGGAGAAAGGTTTAACCCGAGAGGGGCCGTATTTGGAAATTGGAACCGGCCTCAGCTCGGCAGCCAAACTGGGGAGCAGGGAAGTGAGAGCTAAGGGAAGTGCAAGGACTCCGTGTTCCGTTTGAAATCTGGCTTCACAGGCCCTTGCCCTTCCAGTCGCCTTTAATCCAGAAGCTTTCTGTTTATTTAGGGAATTGACCCGGAGTGCGGGCAGCTTTCGCAACTCTCTGCTTTCCCCAGGCGTTTCCTTTGCCTATCAGCAAGGGGCTGATGTTCGCAGCAAACAGGAAGCCAGGGCGCTGGACAAACCCAGCAGGTCGGTGAGGTCCCGGTGCAACAGGTGCTGCTGGAGCATGCTGCAGGGACAGCGCCCTGCCCTTCAGGCCTAGAAACGCTGGGGGAGGGGGGCGAGAGAAGCAGGTGGCGGGCGGGGGGGGGGGCAGGACACGGATCCCAAGGTGGTCAAGATTTGTCCCATGACAAGGAAAGAAGAGACAAGGAGGGGACTCCAGCCCACAACTGCAGGCCACATCGGAGCACCAAGAGAACACCAAGTCTTTATTACAGGAGTTCCTATGAAACAGCGCCAAGAAAAAACCCACACATAGGATTAAAAAAAAGCAACACACAGAGACTTGGGGCTGGGGCTAACCCCGTACACCTGGCCCTGGCCCAGGAGGAGTGGGGTTCACAGTCCGGAGCCGCTCCTCTGACCCTCAGGGTCAGGCTGTCTGGAGCTTAAGTCGGCAGCTGGGTACTACCGCACCCTTCATCGTCTGGCTAGGGACCAGCCAAGCATAAGTAAGGAGACTGGCGACCAAAGTCCCTGGCACCATGCTCCCAAACTTGGTCTTGCTGCCAGGCAGCCCCAGAGTTGCAGGGGTGCAGGGCATAAGGGGTGCAGCACGAGGCGCAATCCTGGCTCACCCTTGCCACACCCCAGTACCTCACTACCACCAAATGCTGTATCAGATCCGTCCCAGGCCCACAGCACAGCCCCAAGCAGGGAAGCTGGATCCGCTGGCCTGGCCGCGCTGGAGCCCAGGGAGAGATATGCCTGCCTCGCCGCGGCAGTGGTTGCTGCCCTAAGGGGCAGAGCTTTCCTCTCCCCATCACCCTCCCCCACCCAGCCCTGCACCTTCTCCAGGGTGTCACTCTTCAGTCCCTGCTGCCCAGCCCTGAAGGACAGACCCTGCCGGCCAGGCCAGAATCCTCCAGCCCTCCCGCGGCTCCGCTCGCCTCTGCAGCCCCTGGGAAAGGCTGAGATGCAGGTGGCCCTGGGGGAGGGGGGGCACAAGGTGCCCAGAGAGCTGGCGACGGTGGAGATGAGGCAGAGACTGATACCTGGCTGGAGACATGGGGAGGGAGGAAGGCAGGAGCCTACCTCCAGGCCAAAGAGCCTCCTAGGGGCTCCTGCCTGTTTCCAAACTCCAGCCTCTGCACGTCCTCATTTTTTTTTTTTTTTTTTTTTAAAGAACGGAAGAGGTGGTTCTTGCATTTCCACCCACTGCTGTAGAAAAGCCTGACTGCAAAAGGGGCTGTGACTGGCTGCTGCCTCTAGAGGCCCCACGTTCCCTCCTCCAGTCACAGGATGGCGACTCCAAAGTTCTAAGTCCCCTGGAAGGTGGCAGTGGCTGGGCTGGACCATGGCTGGAGGACCACCCGACCTCCGAATCAAGCACCAACAGTCCGGCTGCATCCGGGTCCTTCAGCAGGGTGCCATGTTGCTCTCCGGCTGCCCTACTGCGCATCAGAACATCCTTGGTGAGATGGAGCTGTTGACACCTGGCAGGGAAAAGGAATAGGTAAAGTCTTTTTTCAAAGGAGCCCACAGTTGGGCATGGTGGTGCAAGACTGTAATCCCAGCACGCTGGGAGGCTGAGGCAGGAGAATCACAAGGTCCAGCCAGCCTAGGCAAAACTCAGTGACTTAGTAAGATCCCATCTCAAAGGATCTGAAAGACACACCTGCTAAAGATGCAACTTAGTGTGAAAGCCCTGGGCTCTCTTCCCAGGAGGGGACACATTTGGGCAGAAGATACCAAAAGTCAGGAGCTCCCTCCTTTCTCCGGTGGGAACTCTACCGGGGGTCATCCTGGCACCTTGCAGAATAGCAGGGTCTCAGCAGCAGCTGGAGAGGGAGTTAGGGTGGGTGGGGTGGGACGGGAAGGAAGTAGATGAGTGGAGAGAGCTCAAGGTGGACAGTGGCTGCCACCACACTGGCCGTATCTGCAACGAGCTGGACTGAGGGCGCCCATGGGGCAGAAAAGGAAAGTGGGCCAGAACTGGGCAGGTTCCAGACACCAGCTGAGGCATTCCTGAGGCTTTGCCCACGCCCAGAGCAAGGGCGGAGTGGGACCGCATGGGGTTCCTGTACTGGAACGAGTGGGTGGGCAGCACCTAGGGCCACTAGCCACTAACTAGGCAGCTGGGGAGACCGCCTCGCTTTCAGGAGCTGATGTCCAGGCTGGAAGGACAATCCTAGTGCAGCTGGGGATCTGAGCCCATCAGGAGGGGCAACTGCTGGGGACAAGGGCACAGGATCGCTGATGCCGTGCAGGAGGGTGGCGGCACTGGCAGAGAGAGTGTGGGTGAAGCTGAAAGGGTCAAGAGCAGAGCACTGAGTGGGCAGTGAGGGGGCCAGAGGAGTGACCGGAACCTGGAAGGGAGGAGGGAGAACTGGGCTCCTGCGCTCACCAGAACCCAGGGAGGGGTTTCAGGAAAAGATACTCGTGGAAGGCAGCATCAGGTGAGTGCAGCGGGGACAGGGCCCTGGAGCTGGCAGCAGCCTCCCTGTCTGTCTTCTCTTGTCACTTCAGTTGAGTGAAGGAGGAAGCTACCCTCCTGTTAGCTGGGCAGTAAAGGAAACACTCCTCCCAGTTTGTTCGTGGTGCTGGGGACTGACCCAGGGCCCTGTCACTGAGCTACATCCCAGGACTTTTTATTTTTTGACACAAGGTATCACTAAATTGCTCAGGCTAGCCTGAAACTTACACTTCTCCTGCCTCAGCCTCCTGAGTAGCTGGAGTTGGCTGGGCTTGTAGGCACATAACCATCAGCCAGCTCCTGCTGATTTTTCACAGCCAGGGAGGTGGAAGAAGTGAATTCCAGAGAAAAGGAAAAGCAGGAAGACTCAGGAGAGAAGGGATGGGCACATGGCTCTGAGGTAGGGGTGGTTTGTGGTAGGACCCATTTTCCTTGGGAACCTCTGTGTGTGTGTGTGTGTGTGTGTGTGTGTGTGTGTGTGTGTGTAGGGGTTATCAGTGTGACACAGGACAGAGGTGGAGCCATTTCCCTGCCTGCCTTTATTTGGGGACCACAGAGACCTGGGGTGCAGTTCTGTGATGACTGAAGAAAGGCTGAGAGGGCAAGGGCAAGCAGGCTAGAAGCGCATGGGGACAGATGTAGTAGGGAGGCAACTCACTGGGCGGACAGGCCAGCTGCCGGGAGGGGGGGGAGGGCACTGCTATCACTGGCTCTGCCTGGTGCACTGCACCCCCACCATGGTCAGTGCTCTGATGGCCTCCCCATCACCCACAGCTCAAGAAAGCCTGACCGACACCCATCAAAGAGAGTCCTGCAGGAGGCCATCCTTGTACTCCGTGTCAGTCCCCAGAGAGGTACACAGGGACACCGGAGAAGCTGCTGCCTTAGAGGACGGGACAAGCAGAAGTGGACATTATTCTGTGTGTGACCAGACACCTCATTTTCCCTTAAACTGTCCACTCTACTGAGTGGGTCCGGGATTTTCTTCTCAGTGGAGCTGAGAAGGTCAGCTATTCAAAGTCAAAAGCTGATTCTGTTTTCCTGTTCCCAGCATCTGTCCAAGGCAGATGCTTTGGTGATGATCTTTTGTCAGATGAGTAAATAACCAAATAAAAGAGATGTGAAAGATGAGTTTGCATGCCAAAGCCCCTGGCCCTACACATGGAGAGAAGAGACCTAGGATATGTGCCACTCAACTGCCTGGGCCCAGTGCCTCTGTTCCCCTGGGGAAACGTGAGGTGCAGCAGGCCTCAGAGAGCCATGGCTCTGGGGCTTACCTCTTACTGGCCTTCTCTTAGGGCTTCCTCCATCTTGGCTGTCTCCTGCCGCCTTCCCCGGAGGTCTTCGTCTGAAAGCAGAAGAAAGCCCTTGTTTTCTGTCCTGCAGCCACCACCCCTCCCTCCAGTGGAGCATGTGCTGGCTCTGAGCGGGCAACGCATGTGCCTAGTGAGAGACGGCAGGACACCTGGGTGCTGGCCTATCTCTGAGGCCTTAGACAAGTTCTTTCCTCTTCTTTGGGTCTCAGTTTCCTCATCTATAAAATGGGAGGGGAAACAGGACTATCTGGGTGTCTCCTGGCCTTGAAGGCCCTATGACATGCTGTCCATTGTTCAGCTGTGTGTGGCTCGGTAGGATCTGAGAGGGGTAGGGTTGGTCGGGTCTTCTGGTCCCTGTGGCTTTGGAAGAGACTAAGTGAAAGGTGGAAGCTCTAGGTGTTGGGGAGATGGCTTAGTGGAATAAGCGCTTCCCTGGCAAGCGCAAGGACCTGAATTCAATCCCCCGTTCCACAAAAAAAAAAAAAAGGAAAGAAAGGTGAAAGCCCTGAAGCTGGCTGGCACTTGGTCCCCTGACTGGGAACACTCAGGACCTCCTCATGCAGTGTCACCCATTGCAGACACACAGGAGCCCAAGGTTCCTCTCCCCGCCTCACCACAAGCGTGAGCCTCCACATCATCCAGAAGGTTGGCTGTCGATGCAGCAGCCCCCAGCCTGCAGAGCCATTCAGGAAAACCGTCCTGGATATAGACCAGGGATGCCCTGCCCTCCCCAAGCCCAGGAGGCCTCCTCTCCTGTCCCTCAACATCCCAGTGCTGCCCCCACCAGCCTCCTTTCTCGGGGTCAGGAGAGCAGCCAGGCCCTGACCCTCGGCCCCCAGGGATATCTCTGGTGACAGAAGAGGGACTTTCTCTTTGCTCCTCTGTGGCTGTCCAGCTTTTAATAGCCTGGGCCTTGTTTGACAGCACGGATGGGAGTCTGGGTAAAAATGTGGACCATCTCACTGCTACTCGAGAAGGGCCTCTCGCAATGATGTGTGAGGACTCAGACCAGTTCAACTAGAGAAGTTTGGGGAAGGTTTGCTGATCACACTTGAAGATTCAACTTTTCTCCCAGGGAGGACGAGGAGGAGGAGCGGAAGAAGCTGGCAATGCCATTGTCCTTGTCATAGAGCAAACAACTTCCTCCCGTCCTGCTTCCCAGTCCTGGCCTGGCACTCCGGGAGGTGGGTGGCCACCAAGCAGCCCAGATCACGGAGCAGAGAGGAGGCTGCAGACCCAGGGGCGCCAGGGCGCAGCACCCACCACCCAAGCCGTGCCAGGCCAGAAGGATACGACTGATGCTTGGGCAAGTGCTTCCGCCTGGACTTCCGCAGTTTGGTCTTCTCGGAGAAGGCGCGGGCCAGCTCAAACAGCTTCCTCCGGGTGGCTGGGGCAGAGAGACCCGTGAGCCACTCATTTTCTTGGCAGTGAGGGCATCAGATAGGCTCCCCCCTCAAGTCAGGGGGTGGTCAGGGTGGCACCAGGACCCCTTAGGGTGGGAGCTGGGGAAGGGAGGTGATAGGAACGGCAGACACAGGCCCCACCTCAGGAGCAGCAAGGCTGCCATCCCAGGTTGGCCTGCAGGGGCAGCAGAGGCCACCAGGAGCCGGGCCCAGGGCCTACCGGCAGCCCAAGATCCGGGTATTCCTTCCCCAGCGGCCACAGCCTGCCAGCCCTGCATTTGGCTTCCCTTCCTGCCCCTCCCTTAGCTCCCTGAGTTCTGGGATTTCCATGACTAATGAGAGATTTTTCCTGAAACGAAGCCTGGAAGGATAGTGCTTCTGAAAGCTGGCGGGACTTGGTGGGCAGAGGTCCCTAACTCAGAGGGTCCCTTCCCCAAACAAAAGGAGCTTGGCAAGGGTCTCCCCCCACGCAGCCGGGCAGGGCCAGTTGCCTCAAGCCACAGAGAATGTGAACACAACATCCGGGAGAGGCCATGTGGGGCGCATTATTTTCCTGCAGACAGCTGGCCAGAGAGGATTTAAACTTAATTTGTACCCAGACTCAGCTGCAGAGGGAAGTGAGGCAGGAAGGCTGAGGGAGCCAGCCTGCGATTAAAATGTCACTCCAGTTCACTCAGGGTCAGTGGCAGTCAGAACCCTGCCTGCATCCCAAGCTCTGGGAAGGTGGGGGAAGGGCTGCAGGCCGGACTCACATTTTCCCATGTGTTTCAGCTTGTCCCTGAATAAGGCATCTTCAGACACAGCAGGGTTGGCATCACTGTTTCCTGGAAGAGGGAGACACCTGCTGTGGGACAGGGTCCCTTCAGTCATATTAGATAGGAGGCCCAAGGGGCTGCCGAGGTCCCAGGGGAGTGAGCAGGGCTATCCCCACACAGGGCCTTCTGAGCTCTCTCCTGCCACTGCAGCAAAGATGAAGGTGTTGTCCCTTAAATCAGGAGGGAAGTTAAAGCCAGGAGGACACTTGGGGTTGTAGGAGCACTTCTGTCTCCTAGCAAACCATGCTGTCCTCCTCTGTGAAAATGAGGACTTTTTTGCGGGGAGAGAGGATAGAACCAGGGCCTTGGCATGCAGCTACATCCCCAACATTTTTGAGATAGTGCTCACAAAACTGCCCAGGTGAGACTCAAGCGGGATCTTCCTGATTTAGTCTCCCGAAGTGCTGGGGTTATAAGTGTGTGCCACCACCACACCTGACTGAACATGAGGACACTCAGGGTCAGCTGCCCGTGTGGGAAGCCGGCTGGCATGGGGTCCCAGCTGTCCACTACATTCCATGAAGTCCGCTTGGTAGTTTAAGCTGTGGTGGGGTGGTTACACCATGCAAGTCACAGGCACTCCATCCAGGCTTCCCCGCACCCAGAGCCTCTGTTGACCATTCTGCTTGCGTCCCGTGCCTGTGAGTCAGAGCGGCCAGAATGCCAGGCGAGCGCCCCTTCTTCCCCCGGAGAGCACCCTCCAGGACACCCAGCAGAATGGGAACTGGGCAAGGCCAAGACCCAGAGCCCCTCCCAGCTCTGCAGCCCTACTGGGGCTCCGCCTTGCCCCACTCTCCATCCTGTAACTAATCCCCAGTCACCTTGTCTGCTAAGTCCCCTCTGAATCACCCCATCCACCCCTGCAGCCCTGGTGTCTCTGGTTAATTCGGGATCAAGGCTCGGTGAAAATGCCTGATGCACATCTGCTGGGGCATAAGCTCCAGCCTGGCTGCAGGATTTTCTCTCTTGGAGCTGGGTTGAGCAGGGCCCCACCCCACTGCTCCGGCATGCCTCACCCCAGTGCACCAGTGCATAGACACTCACTGTACCATAAGACACCGCTGTGCACAAGACACTGCTTAGCTTTTCTGTGGCTGGGCAGCTTCTGTGCATTCATTACAGGGCAGTAACCAAACAGGGGCTACTGTCCACACAGGTGCAGGGTCCAGGTGTTGAGGCTAAAGACCGGGACCCTGCGTCATGTTCCCACCTCTGGCTTCATCCTCCCATCCATGCATCCCAAAAGCACTGCTGCCCACACCCTGGCCCCCTTCAGCCTGAGCCTCCCAGCACAGAGGCCTGACCACTCTTGATGCAATTCCTGTTTTCATGTGCTCACAGCTTGAAATTTTTCTTCCTTGAACAGCTAGGGCAGGGC